CCCCAAAACCCCAAAACCCCAAAACCCCAAAACCCCAACTCCTTAGCAAATTATTGAAGCATTTAAAAAAAGTTTGTGTCGAATATAAACCTTAAAGTTCAGAAATCATATCAGATTCCTCTTCTGAGCATCACTCGATGAAGGTGAAATTAGGGATATCAAACCGCTTTTGACCCTTCTCACTAATCACAGAGCTATCAACTGAGTGGCCGTAGCAATACTTCGAGTACCCCTTAGGAGGCTTTACTTGGATAGTGTGTGCTTTTTCAGGACTGGCTAGATCTTCCCAGTCAATATCTTTGAAGAAATCATGCTCCATGACTTCCTCAGCTCCACCAGCTCCGAGTCTTTTGTCAGGATCCCTAACGAGCAGCTTGGAAACAAGGTCTTTCGCATTGGGAGAGAATCATTTACCGTATTTAATACTCTTGCAAAGGATGTTTTTGACTACTATACTTCTTTCATTGCTGTCAAAAGGTAATTTTCCAGAAATCATCTCGTAAAGAATGACTCCAAAGGACCACCAATCAATGGCAAAGCTGTAATCATTCCCAAGAGCGACTTCTGGGGCCAGGTACTGAACAGTGCCTCATATAGAGTTAGTCATCTCTGGGTTGGCAGTGCTGGATTTTCTTTTGGATAGACCAAAATCAGTAAGCTTCACTCCGAAATCTTGGTCAATCAAGATATTCATTGGCTTTAAATCTCGGTAAAGAATATTATTTTCATGTAGGCATTTTAACCCAAGTAAAATCTGAGCTGATATGTTAACAGCCAAAGGCTCCTTGATCTTCCTTTTATGTACAATGTGGTATCAGAGATCCCCAGCATCCATGAAGTCAAGGATCAGGAAAAGCTTAGTCTCAGATTGGAAAGAGAAATGTAACTTTACCTAAAGTTAACATGAATTTTCTGACTTACAATATAAGGACTATCAATTTGCTGGGTGATATCTTTCTCAGTAAGAACTTGTTTCTCGTCTTTCTTCGTATAAATACCAGATTTCCTGATGACTTTCATAGCATATAAAACTCCTATAATAATTTTAAATTGGGATGACATCATACCTGTGTCGATTTTATTTGACAAGATAAACCTTGCCATAAGCACCTTCTCCAATAATTTTTATCACAGAGAAACTTCTGAGAGTGACTGGCTCATCTTCCTTAGAAGATCCTGCTGATTCAGTTCTGATATTGTCATCATGCTTAGTAGAGGCAGTTTCAAGTTTGCCCATTTTAATGTCATTTGCTATCATTTTCTTGTTATTTCCTCCTACGGGCTCTACTAAGTCTCTTTGAGGGCTTCTTGATCAGCCCGTCGTTCTTCTTAAGACACTGCATATTCTCACAAGTGTTCCCCATAATTTGGAAGCTATAATTATCAATAAATTATTACTCAGAGGGGTTTTGGGGTTTTGGGGTTTTGGGGTTTTTTTTTGGGGTTTTGGGGTTTTGGGGTTTTGGGG